CCTGCGTGCAGGCCGTGGTACCCGGTCTGAACGGTCCGGGAACCTCACGGCTGCTGCCGCGGGTCTTCTCTTCTGGGGGAACGAAATAGGAGCAGAGCCGCAATCTGAAAGCCCAAGTCCCCACCGGCTTTCCGAGCTTCGATTAGCGACGCTTTTCTCCTTCACGTCACGCTTTTTTCTGATGGGAGTCACTGCCCCGTTCCCACCAGGCACGCAGGACACAGCAGCAACGCAGATGCTTTCCGTTCGTCCGCTCGCGATTGTGCCACTCTCGCCGTGGTGGGCAAGTAACACGAGTTTTCATCACCTCCCGACAGCCTAACCCAAAGTAGCAGCGGCCTCTGGCCAGACATGCTCCCCGGCACCTCTGTGCTGTGCTTTCGTCCCCGGCGGTACCGTGTGCCCGCTTCAAAGTTGTTATAAAGTTTACAAAATCACTTTTGCATATGTGCAACAGACAGCAGAGCAGAGGTGGCCTCTCAACACAGCAGCAGCTCGTTAGGTGGCCATAAAGCCATCAGAAAAATCAGATAAAGCCATCAGAAACTATTTCAGGTTGCCATACAGCTGCAGGGCACGTAAAAGTTCTTCGTATTGCTACTGGACTTTCTGCTGCGTCTCCCCCTCCGCTCATCGACTGACACCTGAACGAACAGAACAGTGAATGGACACTGAACCTATCCTGCCTTCCCCTCCCCACCCCGCAAAAATGCCCCGAGGGCCCATCAGCAGTTACAGATTTCCTGACAACCAAAAATATCCAGTAAGGTATTTTACTGAATTTTCCCGACATCTGAGGAAACACGTGGGGAAACGAACCCAACGGCCGCTCACTTTTCCGATCTTGCGCATTCGGCACGCGGGTAACACGCCTCGCCACCCCGCCTGCCGGCGGTGACTGCGCTGGCCGGGACTCGCCCGCAAGCGCGGATCCCCAGACCTGGGCAAAAGGCGGTTCCGGCTGGGAGGCGGCGGAGCCGTCGCTCATTCAGCGCGGCCGCGGTCCCGGCCGCTCGCCCTCCACTGGGACTCACTCGCATCCCGCATGGGAGGAAGTGACGTACCAATAAAGAGCGGAGGGGGGGGGCAGGGTGGCCATGGCCGTTGTGGGCATTGCGGGGCGGAGTCAGTGGGCCGTCCCCGGGAGAGTGCTGCTCCCGGCGCAGAGTTTCGGAGGAACCTCGCGGAGGAGGAGAAGCACCGCGAACCTTAGCACCGGGGACAAACCCCTCCATACACCCTCAGCGCGGCGGAAAGCGCTACCGATCCCGGCCGTCCTGCGAACAGAGCTCCGTGCCGGCAGGAGGCTCATGCCAGGGCCAAAGATGGCGCCCCCGCACCCGATAGGCCGCGAGAGCCCCGCGCATCCGGCGCCGCCCGCGTAACGCCCGGCCGGGAAGGCGGTGGGCAGCGCCCCCGCCCGGCCTCGCTCCGCGCCCTTGGCAGGGGCAGCGCCCGCCGCGGCCATGGCGGCCTGGCCCACTGTGCCCCTCCTCATCAACCTCGGCGGGTCGCTGCTGGGCTTCGCGGCCACGCTCACGCTGATTCCGGCCTTCACGGACCACTTCCTCGCCGCGCGGCTCTTCGGGGAGGACCTCAACAAGACCTCAAGGCGGCCCGTGTGAGTAGCGCTGCCCCAGGGAGCTGCCCCGCGGGGCCGGCCCAGGCATGGCTGACTCTCCCCGCTCTACCTTCCAGCCCCGAAGCACAGGGCGTGATCAGCGGTGCCGTGTTCCTGATCATCCTCTTCTGCTTCATCCCCGTGCCCTTCCTGAGATGTTTTGTGGAGGAGCAGTGCGCGGCCTTTCCTCACGACGAGGTGAGGTTCGTCTAGTGCTGCAAGCGTGGCAGGCAGGGGCAGGGATTGGCCACCGGTGACCGAGGTCCTGTTCTCTGTCCTGCAGTTCGTGGAGCTCATCGGTTCGCTCCTTGCCATCTGCTGCATGATTTTCCTGGGCTTTGCAGATGATGTTCTGAACCTGCGCTGGCGCCACAAGTTGCTTCTTCCTACCATGGCTTCCCTCCCTCTGCTCATGGTTTACTTCACCAACTTTGGGAACACGACCATTGTGGTGCCTAAGCCCTTCCGGGTGTTGCTGGGCATGCACTTGGACCTGGGTAAGTTTATGAATCACCAGAAGCTGTCATCCATGTGGCAAGGGATCACATGGAGCACTTCTTACTGCAGAGGGAGCAGACTAAGGATTTGCTTAAGTAATCAGTAAGAGAGTGGCAGTCCACCCACTAAACATTAGGCTGGAAAGAACATCCAGAAACCCAGTGCACATTCAGGTGTGCATAGACAGACGCCAGTCATTTTCCCATGATCCTGGCAATACAGCTGAGTAGTGGGGCACACAGCACGTGGCTGATAACATCAGGATGTTAGAAAGACAGAAACAGCACTACAGCTGGCCACCATGCCACGGCAGTTTGTCACAGTACACGTAGACATGACAGCCAGCTTGTAAGAGAGGAAGCAATCTTATTTGTAAGCTACCACTATCAAAACTCACTCAGATTGTTAGGTAATAGGTTGTTGTATAAAGCAAGAAGTGAGAGCTTCAGTGAATTGGTCTAGGGCCTGCTTTGCCTCCAAATACTGATGCATTTGGCTTGCTCTGCTCTGCAGGTATCCTCTACTACGTGTACATGGGTATGCTAGCAGTGTTCTGCACTAATGCCATCAACATTCTTGCTGGAATTAATGGAATTGAAGCAGGACAGTCGCTGGTGATAGCTGCTTCCATTATCATATTCAATATTGTAGAGCTAAACGGTAAGGAAAATAACAAACCTTTGTGGGCACAAAAAGCAAAGGGTGATTGAATTCTAGATTTCAGTAGCTGGTATTACTAGAAATGAACCAGTCTTGTCATATCACAAACACATGTTTTTCTTTTTTCTATAGGGGATTATCAAGATGATCACATTTTTTCTCTCTACTTCATGATTCCCTTTTTTTTTACCACACTGGGCCTATTTTACTACAACTGGTAAGAGGACAGACATTCAGAATTTGTTTGGAAGCATCCTTTCCCTCTAGTTTCTCCCTTTTTGAATGAACAAAACCACTTAACCACCTCCAGGTGTGGAACGCTGGAGTGTAGAGAGGCTTCTTGCCAGATCCAAGAACACAAAGCACGGATTGTAATATTGTATTAAAACAATTGTGGTCACACCAGCTCACCCAGACATGCCGAATACACTGTCTCCTGTGCCTCACTGGCTGGCTTTTCATACAATATTCTCCGCAAGTCAGGTGGTGGGTCCCAGTCCTGCAATTCTTAGAATAAATACCTACAATTGTTTTTACTGCGCAGATCTGCTGCAGATCTCCATTGGCCCCTGACCTGCAATGTGGGCACACATTCAGTGGTTATAAATAGTCATTTTTGAGGAAATAGCAGTCATGTCAGACCTTTGCTTTTCTGCTCCATGGATTACAGGTACCCATCTCGAGTGTTTGTTGGGGATACCTTCTGCTACTTTGCTGGCATGACCTTTGCTGTGGTGGGGATCTTGGGACACTTCAGCAAAACAATGCTGCTTTTTTTCATCCCACAAGTACTCAACTTCCTCTATTCATTGCCTCAACTCTTCCACGTCATTCCTTGTCCCCGTCACCGGCTACCGAGGTAATGTACCAAGTGACCTATAGTGGTACTACAGGTTGTGTCTTTTACCTCCAACACCAGCTGAGAAAGGTGGTGGAAGGTGCTCTTTTTAAAAGCCGTCAAAGTATGCTTTCTCTTTAAAAGACAGCAGCTCACTCTGCTAGCTACAGTCAGATCATACAGTAGAGGTTTCTCAAAGAAGTGCACTTCTCTGACCAGCCCACCCCTCAGATACAGAATAATTTTTAACAAGGTTAGAACATGATGATTCCAACCTACAAGATCGAGAGAAATTGACACAGGCTGCTTTTAATACTGCAGTAGTGGGATCTGCTAGGATTTCATAGTAGCAAGCATTCTATAGCACTATGCCACATCAGCAGTTCTCTCTGCAGATGTTAGATTCTTCTGTTTTATTCTTTAAACTACACAGCATATATTGGGGGTGCAATGGGAAGGAGTCTTCTCTGCCCCACCTGAGGGGCTAGATACTAGCAGCTGTTTTTAAGTGCATCAGGTTATTCCTGTTTCTTCCACCACTGGATTTCTTTCTCAGCTGTGGATCGAAGTCTGCTTACAAAGTGATATATCTCCTTGTTGCATCTGGACTAAATTTTAAATGTTTCTTTTAGGCTTAATCCTAGTACAGGCAAGTTGGAGATGAGCTACTCCAAATTCAAAACTAAGAGCCTCTCTGCCCTGGGAACAAGCATTCTGAAGGTAATTTGTGGAAAACATTCATAATTCAGGTGCATTTTGAGGCAGTTATCAAGTGAAAGAGAAACAGGGTGGGAGAAAATGCAGAACTTCGGGGTTCAGTAGTTACTGAAGAAAGTCTGCTACCATCCCTCCCAGTCACTTGATTGTGTTAAAAATCAGTCTTTCAGAATAAACACACACAGAAGTACCCCAGGACCATCATAAGTCTGTCCTGTCTTTTCAGTAAGACCACAACCAGGATTTCAGGGCTGGTGCAGCAAAAGGGGTCTTGAGCAAGATTAGCCAATGAACACCAAACATACCTGGTGAAATAGCATCCAATATTTCTTTCCTCAGGTAGTCAAGATCTTGCACGTAGTAGATGTGAGGAGTGGAACAGATGAAGATGGCGAATACACTGAATGCAATAATATGACACTTATTAATTTTGTCATAAAGCTGATTGGACCCACCCACGAGCGAAATCTCACTCTTCTGTTGCTACTCATTCAGGTCAGACAAAGGGTTCCTCCAGTAGAAAGATTTACTCTGCAATAGAAACAGATCTAAGTCAGTATCAAGAGCTTTAAGGGAAAAGGGGAAAGTAAAATATCGTGCTCTTCACACAAAGTGCAGTTGAGCTGTGGAGCTTGAGGAGAATAAGAGGTTTACACACTTCAAGGGGGGAAGAAATCCACACACACCTCCCTGTTCAATTGAGAGCCTATAAAAAAAGTCAGAAGGTTAGCTTAAGAAGATTCCCAAGGCACGAGTCATTGGTTGCAAGAAAAACGTGAGCACAGCGGAGTGCCTTGCCTTTTCACTAACTCAAGACAGCCTTTCGGTATGTTCCTGTTTTTCAGTAATGCCAAATAACAGTCTCACAGTTGTCACCAGCAAGTGGACTTGCATAAGGATGGCATGTGGCTCAGCAGTCTCTCAGTCTGAGGGGCATGCGGGAGCATTTTGAAGCCACTTGGAGTATAAGGATGTGCTTCACAGATCCTGCCGCTACCTCTATTCAGCATGTGAATTCGCGAGCATAGTGTAGTGAAAACACCGCTTTTTGAAAGGCCTGCATTGGTTAACTGTCCACAATAAAATCCTTCTTTTCATCTTCAGATTTAAGATAAGGGATTCTTACTAGGAAAGAGACACTTAGCCAGAGTCCAATTTGAGAGGGAGAGCTTGCAACGAAAGCCTGTTGAGGGCTTAGGCAGATGACATTGACATTGGGGATGGGAGAAGACAGGAAGTAGAGAGCACTTATCTTGATCCCAGTCACAGCAGAGAAGTCCTGATAGCACCTTATTGTAAGGATACTGAATTTCAGCTTTGACATAAGGTATTTTCCATTACAAACCATAGGGTTTATGTTAAAATAACATAAAATTTACGTTAAAATTTCTTAAGGGGGAAGGAGTTATTCTCAAACTCTTATCTCATGCACATGTTCTTAGAATGTGACTGTGTGAAGGCACAATGAAAAATCTCCCACTGATACCTAAAATCATCAGAGAAAGAAACAATGTCTTTGGATAGACTTCTGCAACTTCCTGTACCAAAAAAAAAGTAGTCTTTAGTTGCTATTTTATGAAATGAGGCATGCTGGAAAGCTTAGTAAATCCATTTGGAAAGGAGGAATCTGACAGCCTGTAAACCATTTTACAGTATGTTTCTGTTATGTGTCTGATTTTTACCTAGGTCCTTGGCAGCACGATTGCATTTTCGATCCGGTACCAACTAGTGCGCTTGTTTTATGATGTCTGACTGGACTGTCAGGAGTGAGGGAAAGAGTTCTACCTGGCAGTCCATTTTATCCAGTTGCTTGACCAACTGATGATTCAACTGATGTTGCTCCCACCCTCTGGGAACCTCAGAATACCTGTCAAAACACAAGCAACTGCTTTGCGTGAGCTAGTTTTGAACCGGGATGTTCTTTGTGCACCAGAGGCTTTTGTCCAATTCTGTGATAGAAAAGATTCACTACTACTCGGACATGATTGTTACTAGGAATACCTTTTAGAAGGGAAGCAAATGACAGCACTTAGGGAAAGTGGGAAAGGTGGAATCTCTATATGTCTAACAAAGACTACTGTTCACCAAGAGAGAAAACAGCAGCTTTAATTTCTGTGAGCAGAATAAGTAAACCAGATGCCATTCCTGGCTTCTCCAACCAATCCTGTTTTTGGTCCATGGACACAGAATGTCATGTTATAACCCGTACTCAAAACTAAGAGTGCTCCAAGAATAAAATAATTCATGGTACCTTTTCCCCTGCAGTGGTTTGCCTTGACAACATTGACATGCAGTGAAACTAGGTTGTGTGATCCATCTCTAGCTTTCTACCCTGTTAGGCATCTGCTCATTTCTGCAGTGGACACTCCCTCTTTTTTTATGGCTACTGGGAATGTTCCTGCTGATAAGCTTTTAATTCTGAATACCTTTATAGTCTGCCTTCCTCCCCGGAAGAGGACGCGCCTGAAACAGACTAGCAGATTAAGGATCACTATGTCCTTGTTTTAACAGGGCATCAGTAAGGTCCTTTTATTAATGCGGAACTAAAACTGCTGACTACCAGTCCCTTTTCTTCAAATACAAACAATTATTTATAGAGCAGTATTTAGCACCATAGTTCAACAAAGAATTGCTACCTACCTGACAGAAAAACATAGCACAGGCATTGGAGTACCAGGTTATAGTCTTTGCAAGTGCAGTGGTAGTGAAAGTGAAATAATGCAACAGCAGAAACAGGGATGCTGAGGTGGCTAAGAGAAGAAATTGCCAGGTCCAGTACACCAATAGATGCAAGGGCAACGGACCTCCCCACACCCAAGTCCAGCTAGTAACATTGGAATGTATTACCAGAAGGCAAAAATGCCTATGTCCAGCAGCACTGATCAACACAGAAAACACACAGCACTCAAGTACGAATGGTATGAGTGCCTGAATCCTCTTCCTCCTCTCCAGCCAATCAGTTTGTAAGTCTGCTAATACAGTACATTCATTAAAACATACACACAAACATCATGAAATCATTCAGTACCTGGCCTTAAACAGTCTGTCCAGTAACCAGCTGCTGGATTTCCTGGCATCAGGGCGTATGAACAGAGAAATTATTCTCCCTGCTAGCTCATCTAGGAATGTGGCCTTCCAATAGGTATTTCTCAGGCAGCCACTCCATTTTTCCCAGTAAACTGGCTCAGCCCTACCTCCAATAAGCATCCTGCTGACCCTGATCTCTCCCATACCTGGTTGTGGGCTCCAAAGCCCATTCTCCTACTTGTTCTGTAGTCTGGCTCCTTCGCTAGGGATCACACGCGCTTGCATTCCACCTAGCCCTGGCCCCTCCTTGCATGTGCTGAAGTCTTTCCATTTGCTGGAACCACTGGCTGCTCTGATTGGTGTCCTAACATCAGTTGCTGGCACTTAGACCTCCAGAGGCACACAGCATAGACAGTCTGCTCACTCTGGGGGAAAAATACATACATAACATATGGGTTAAGTAAGACAGCACAGAGACTGCAGACATAATTCTTACTGATCAGCAACATTTTAAAACATTACCACTTCCTTCACTTTTATTTTTCCTTCAGTGTTCCCATGGGTTTTTTTCCTCCTCATCCACTTTGACTCCTCACTCTCCTTTGGTGCTTCTCTTAATATACCCATATTAGGAACTCATATCTCACACATTCCCAGAATTCCCTAAGAAAGATCTCATGGTAGGCTTTTTCACATCCCTAACTGCTCTTCCCCCAATGTACCGCCCTAACGCAAATGGCCCTACAGACAGGGATACCTCTCAGTCTGTAGGCGCCCCGGGAGCCCCTCTACCTCGCTCTGGGTGAAAGCCAGGCCCAGACAAGGGACCGGGCCCAGGGACTGACTCCAGCCCTCATAAAGCACTGTGCGCCTGGCCGGGCGGCACGAAGCGCTCTGTGGGATTGGCCTCCCCCCGCAGTGGGCGGGCCAGCACCGCGCATCTCGCTGGGCCGGCGAAAGGGCCCCACGGGTAACCTCGGCGTGGTTTAAATTTGGCGCCTCGCTCGCTGATTGGTCGGACCCCGCCCAACACATTCAGAGCAAACGCGCTGGTATCACACAAGCGACCAGTCAGCAAAAAGCTTCTTTCGGCAAACGCACCAATAGCTAGGGGCGGTGGCGCTATCCAATGAGCTGGACTCTACTTGGCGGGAGGTTATAAAAACGCCGGGCGCGCCACCTCCAGTCGTATCGGTTCAGCAGCGGAGTGAGACGCCATGTCCGGCCGTGGCAAGAGCGGCGGTAAGGCCCGTGCTAAGGCCAAGTCTCGCTCGTCCCGGGCTGGGCTGCAGTTCCCGGTAGGACGCGTTCACCGACTGCTGCGGCGCGGGCACTACGCGGAGCGGGTGGGAGCTGGTGCGCCCGTCTATCTGGCGGCCGTGCTCGAGTACCTTACCGCTGAGATCCTGGAGCTCGCGGGCAACGCGGCACGCGACAACAAGAAGACGCGCATCATTCCCCGTCACCTGCAACTAGCGGTGCGCAACGACGAGGAGCTCAACAAGCTGTTGGGCGGCGTTACCATCGCGCAGGGCGGCGTCCTGCCCAACATTCAGGCCGTTCTGCTGCCCAAGAAGACCAGCAAGAGGGGCAGTGGGCAGCAGTCGCAGGAGTACTAGGCAGGCCGGCCCTCCCGGCCCAACTCAAAGGCCCTTTTCAGGGCCACCCCATTGCTCACCGGGAGAGCTGCGATCCGCGGAGGAGGGAAGGGGACGAGAGGCGTGGTCGGCTGTGGCAGCGGGGGGCGGGGAGGAGAGAAGCGGCCCGGGACCAGTCAAAAACTGAGCGTGAGAGCTGCTCCATAAGGACCCGTTATTTTAACTCTTACCTACCTCTGGTACATTCAGTGGACGTTGCCTCGAAAATAAAACTATAAAACTGCATTATTTACGAAACAGCACCCCAACACGGTGCCGTTACAGTGTTTCTGCAAGGCAATGTAACAATCAAACCCTGCTCAGAGGATGCTGACCTAGTAGCCAAGCGCAGGAAGCGACAGTATCTGGAATTCGGGCTTCTGCTTCAGCTCCCCCTTCACCGGCAAGTCTAGCTAACTGGCTCTCATGACTTGTGGACAAACGTACAAGGGAAATCAAAATGGCTGTCCGCCCCCTCATTTAATAGTAGCCAATCCAGCTAGTATAGCTAATATACATATACATAGTATCTAATACTAGCCAATTGCCTAGTGTATCACCTGCATCTACCCGACAACTCAATTTACCTTCACTAAGGCCAAGGATGAATGTAGCATCTCTGCTACTTTACTATAAGGAACTTGGTATCAGGAACCTAATGGGAGCCTTCAGTGATCCAGTGAGTGAAAAGGCCCAAATAATGCCTCCCAAAAGCACTCAGCACAGTACAGCATTTTAGTACCAGCACAGTTGTGTATCCAATTATAACCCAATGGTCACTTTGCTCCTAAATGGAACTGAACACTTAAAGGCTTTTATTTTATTTTTTTCTTTCAGCTCTCTAGCTACAAAAGTTGTTGACAATACTTCATAGAGATGCTTAACAATTTAGAGAAATGTGGAGAGGGGTGAAAACTCTGAAGAGCAGAAACTACTCAAGTTAACTTCATATTTCAGATTTTTTGCACCCAAACATCAGGTAAGACTGGTGTGAATGTTGAAATAAATCCCTCCAGAGGATCATGATGTAGCTGCAGAGTTGTAGCACTCCTGATGGCAACACGGCAGGTTCAGCGGGCATCATTGAGCTGCCTTGCCACGCTAAGGATATGCTTTGCTCCCTTGCTCAGAAGTAAACTAGCTAGTTCAACACCCAGGTTCTCTGCAGCTTCCTGGGCCTGACCAGGAACGTTCTTGGCTGTGATGCCAACATGCTGCACATCGTCATTCGGTCCGTCTTCATTCTGCAAATATAAATGCCTCAAAGTAAGGCAGCAGGAAAACAGTGGGCAAGGAATTAAGACACCCATGAAACAGGGTAAAACTGTTTGAAGAGCCTCAAGAACAGTGTGCTGTTACAGGTTAAAAGAAACCAGACCAAATATAGTCTATTTCTAAAGGCCCAGTTTTTGTCATTTAGCTTCAGGTTTGAATTTTGAAGCCACATGATTCACATACCTGATGGGGATAACTAACACCAGTCTGCATGGTCTCCTTCAGGCTATCAGATCCATCCAAGCTGTAGACTGCTCCTGTCAAATACAACTTGGAAAAATATATAGAATGGATTACTACCACATTAACAAACAAACAGGCAGCCAACTACCCCCTCTTTAAAAAAACCCACCCAATATACAAAGCTAAGTCCGTCGTCATTGGGAAGGGCTTTTGTCATGCAGTGGGATCAGCATGAATAGCAGTACAATACAAGTATAAAGAAAAGTAATCCCTGTTAGGGAAAATGTGACTTCTCAAGGAAAGGCTGAAGTTTTTTTCTAGTCTCCCACCTCCTTAATCACATTCCACTGTATAAAAATAGGTTTGGTAGGGTCAAAAGCAATACTTTCTGACCTCAGGACAGTAGGAAATAAGCAGAGGGGTGGAGGGGGGAATCTGGTATATATTATAAGGGAATTTTCTGAAAGACAGCTTCAGTAGCCAGACCCATGGTTGTACTCCTGCTCTGGACACAAACACAGAAGGTTCAAGTCAGGAGACTGCCCTAACTGGCTATACAGTATACCAGTATATATAGTATAAAAGGTATCTACCTGCTGAAATTAGCTTCAGGAAAAGATACGGAAACATGCACACACTTGGTGCTTTTCAGAAATAATAAATGAAAAATACAATGTACTCCTCACCTGGCCATCCTTCAGCAGGGTGTTGACAGCAACAGGGACGCTACATCCACCCTCCTAAAACACAAAGCAGCTGACACTGAGGCTCCTACCCAACACATTCAAAGCAGAGGCCTCTGAAAAGTTTAGGCTGCACACAACCCTGCCCATCACTCTTCTGGCCCTTTTCGATTCAGAAGTATTCTGCAGTTTTATAGAAGTGTAACAGATTTCCCATATTATGGCATCAAGTCAACTAGCAGATCAGTATTTACTGCTGCAGGCAGAGGAAGGGTGCCAGACCTACCAAATGCTTCATAAAGGCTCTCTCAGCAATGCAGCACAACACAGTGTCTGCATCATGTAGGGCAGATACCATATTCAGTATCTCTTGGTCTTTGGCACGAACTTCCACTGCTAAGGCACCCTAGAAGAAGAAACGCACAACAAAATCTAATTCTTCAACTACATACATCAGCATTGATCATGAAACAGAACTCAGAGGCTCAGACCCTTTTCACTAAGGGAAAAACAATGTTCACAGAAATTAATTATGATACGCTCTGCTGGGTGCAGGGTCATCCTACAGTAGCTGCTATAAACAGAGGATCAGGACTTATTCAGGCAAGTGTTAAAAGATCATGCTGCCACCTCAAACCATTCTAGAACTCTGCAGGTACTTGACAAATGCATGATCAAAATCACTTTTTCAGACTGAATGTGCAGATTTGTCACTTGCAATCACTAAGAGATCACCAGCTGTAGTTTAGCAAGTTTGATACTAGCTGCATAACCTCAGCCACGCAGCCAGCATGCACTGGAACAGTCTGCCCACCCAAAAACAGGAGCACTAAGAATGTGCTCCAAGACAGGTGTTTCAGCTCCACCCTGCAGGAGTCAGGACACCATGCACAAAGGAGGGAGCATCACAGACCAAAGACACTGCAGTGGCTTTGCACAGTTATCCTGATGCAGCGTCATACTGACCCTGCCAGAACCTGCCCCATATCTGCCGTGTTTCCCCGCTGTAGCTGTGCACGGATTTACCTTTCCCATTTACTGTTTTTTTCTATTACTGATAGGCACCAGCCCCTAACACACTGGGTAGAAGAGCAGACTTCCAGTCTCCTATCAAGTTGTGCCTCAAACAGTTTAACAGCCAAGAAAAGAGATCAAAGTACTTTTCTGAAAACCAAGACATGAGAAGTCTTCATCACAGTTAACTACTCATATCATATTGCTGCTGGCTTTCAGTGCCCTTTAAGAAACAAAAGTTGTAAAGTACCTGTCCAACAGCATACAGACAATCTTCAGGGCCTAGGAGCTGGAAGAAAGTAAAATCAAGAGTTAATTCAAGTTGCACTATTCACAATATAGAAAACAAGAGCCAGATAGCCAGATTCCTGTCTCTAATATGAACTGATTTCATGTCAGACCAAAGAAATGTCACCTCTCCCTTCCCGTGCCTCAGTGTTTCCACCACAAAAGTGAGATAATGCACTTTACATCAACTGAAGTAGAACACTTTGTGAATTAGCTAATCACTAAAATCTCAGCGTTGCACACTGCTGCGTTGCTAGACACAAGTGCTGTGAAGTGCTATGAGACAACCAGATTACAAACTGTTACTGAACCGTGCAAAGTTGAACATGAAAAATTTCCACATGAAAAAAAAAAGCTACCAACCAAAAAACCCAACCACTCCTTCCAGAAGTGCCTCAAATCAAAGCTAACATGGCAACGGAGTCAGGAGATTGCATGCCTATCTTGGATAGGACAACCACAAGGTCTGAAAGGCAAACAGTTGGTATTTCATCAGAGAATGGTATTTTCTGCTTTGCTGCACCTCACCTGGCCAATGCGATTTTCCCAGCCCATTCTCTTCAGCCCAGCAGCAGCCAGGATGATGGCACTGAAGTCTTCCTTCTCATCTAGCTTCTTTAAACGGGTATTTAAGTTTCCTCTCTGTAGAAGTGATTAAGCAAGCATAGAAGCAGCCAGAAAACAGTCCTACAACCAACTGAGTCTTTACAGACTGTACAGAATCCAACAGTCTCCAAATGAGAATGTCAGTACCATCATGAAAGTGTTAAATATGCACAATTGTTTCTTAAAATAGAATTCTGCCAAGTGTTATGGAATATTAATTCAAGCGCTGATTCTACAAAGATACGTACACCATTGAAGTACACTATTAGCACCCAACTCCTGCACTGCAAAGAACTCTGCTCCTAGGACTGAAGTAACAATGCCTTTGCTTAGCAGGTCAGCCACCCTTAACAGAATGAGTGGTCCAAACAGCATCCAGGGTTACTGGAAACCCAGCAACATTTGGTCACGTGCCTGTGACAAACACATGGGAGGCACCATCATGCAGTTTTTCAAACACTGCAAAACATACCATTCATCTCTATGCTGAACCCCCAGCTAGATCAAGGCTGGCTGCTTCTTCACAGCCTCAAGAGAAGCAGAGGACAGAATGGCTACAGAGCTACATCCCCCTCAGAACAGGGTAGTGGAGAACAGCCGTTGAAGAAGGAGTTTGTTCTTTGAAGTCAAGTCGCACAAATCAGCCTCGAATCTAGATTTTACACAAAGTTGTACTTTCCTGCTTGCAGCTTTACCCAGCTCCTGCGGCTTTCCAGGAAAGGATACAATATCCCTGAATTCTAAATGAGGGAACTTCTTCTTGAGCTGAGCTGCTCTCCGAAGTGAACTGGTTCCAATCACACTGCAGGGAAAAATATACTCACTGAAATCCAGAACACTCCTAACAGTTACCTCCAGCCACATATATGACAGAAGATTCAAGGAAACAAATGGTAACCTTTTTTTTTTTTTAGTTGAAATGAAGATCAAAAAACCAGTCAATAATTTGTATCTCCCTAGAAGAAAGAAAACCACTCTGTGAAGTT